ATGCAGAATTTAATAATACTATATATTTTAATAACTAAACGGCAGTGATTTATATTCAGCTATGAGATTAAAGAAAATAAAATGAATAAAAGGTTTGCTTGGCATTCGAGAAATATTGTACAGAGTGGGCAAATTTCGATGTTTGTATAGGGTAACTCTGTAACTTCTCGATCTCTTTTTCTGAGGCAAATTCACTGGCGAAAAAAAATGTGCCACCTACTTTTGTTTTCGAGTTATATACAAAAGTTTTTCGACATTTAGACACGTCAATATATATATATATATATATATATATATATATATATATATATATATATATATATATATATATATATATATATATATATATGTATATATATGTATATATATGTATATATATATGTATATATATATGTATATATATATATGTATATATATGTATATATGTATATATGTACTATATACATTTGTGGGTCATTTTGATCATACATGTGTTGAGATCTCGAAAACCAAAAGAGATAGAAAAGCGATTAAATGAGGAAAGTTTTAGATAATTTTGTTACGAACTAAAAGCCGCCTTTAAAACTGCTCCAGCTGTTGGAGATTTTGAGATATCGTCGAAAAAGTTGAACGACATTTTTTCTGTGGAAAATGAGAAAAATGTCTGTAGAATTGACATTTTATTACGTATTTTGTATTTTGTTGAGGTACCTAAATAAGTATTATTCTGTACGATACGTTTGTTGATGACTATTTAGTAGACTAGTAGGACTTACAATTTAATATAGTTTTTATATTTCAATTTAAATTTTCCAATATTTCTTAATGCATAATTTAAAAGTTCTATCCACTCAGGGTTATTTGTGGTTGAAAATTCTAAGCATAAATGTGTATTTTTTTTTCTATTAAATGAAAATATGACTTGCTACACAATATTTGTACTGTGCTACTTTGAAAGGAAAATAAAATTTATTGTTATATTTATTAACCGTAGGTGGAAAGTGAATATATGTACTTTCTAAATAATATTGGTGAAAACAGGTCCCTCGTTTTTTTGATAATAATTGGTACTTACTAATAATTATTATTACCCATTCTTATTTTCATTACTTATTGCAAACACGATACCTATTAGTTCACCATATTATTGTGCATCTATCTATAAAAAAATTAAAGTGTTACTTGCTTTCTGATTTTACTGGTATAAAAAAAACTCATCACAAAAATGTTTTGATTTTGGTATCTGGTTTCACAACAGTATTAAACGGTTATATGTTCACATTGATATTATAACACATCACTGACTGCTTGCTTAGAATAACGGTGTCATCGCTGCGGGAGGCCATTGTAGATTTTTAAAATTCTTTCTGTTAGGCAAAGGTACTGAATATATCAGAAAGTTGATACTTCTTAACATTTTTTTGTGTGAATTAAGTGTCGTATTAAAATTAATTAATAAAAGTTGAACAAAATATTAAAATCGTTTAAAATTTAAAGTTTAAACATGTGTGATACACAGGGTGTTCCTTAATTACGGGTAATACTTCAGAGACCGATAGTTAGTAGACAAAAAATAAAGTGATGATTGTTATATAAACCATAGTCCGCCCTGTATACAGAATATGGCCATTGGTTATTTTTGTTAATTTGTTATTTAATGGATTAGATCATTACTATTCCTTAAAGACAGACAATATGTAAATAAACATTATAACAATTCAGTGATTCACTGTATCAAACACAATTACTATTAAAACAAGATAGATTTATTGGGGTTCAAAATAAAACAAAGAAGGTTTAGTGCCATATTCCCCAAAAAGAAACAATTATGCAGCTACGGACACGTGTTTCGGAGTTATTGCCCCTCATCAGCGTAACGTAGCTAAGGAATTGGATCTACGATGGGATAGATCAGGAACAAGAACTAAAATAAGGCTGGAAAGTACAGTACACAGTACTCAATTAGTGTCTTCATGTTTCCATGTGCCACATTTGGGGCCTCGATGAGCACAGTCAACACACAGAGCTCTATGTGTACTGCTCATTTCCACCTGGCACATACAAATAAAACAAGATAGATTTATTGGGGTTCAAAATAAAACAAAGAAGGTTTAGTGCCATATTCCCCAAAAAGAAACAATTATGCAGCTACGGACACGTGTTTCGCTCTGTGTGTTGACTGTCCTCATCGAGGCCCCAAATGTGGCACATGAGAACATGAAGACACTAATTGAGTACTGTGTACTGTACTTTCCAGCCTTATTTTAGTTCTTGTTCCTGATCTATCCCAACGTAGATCCAACTCCTTAGCTACGCTACGCTGATGAGGGGCAATAACTCCGAAACACGTGTCCGTAGCTGCATAATTGTTTCTTTTTGGGGAATATGGCACTAAACCTTCTTTGTTGTACTATTACTATTTGTAAAGTCCTATTCACAATACAATCACCTAACAAGTTGTTAATTGGAATAAAGTTAATTATTTGGCATGATAAAGGAATGATCCCACGAATTCAAAAAAGATAATTTGCATACGACTTGCATACAATATTTTTTACACAACTGTCATAAACTTATTTTTTTCTGTTTCTTGAATAATGTGTTTTAATTAATTTTGGTGTTTTTAGGGTGATATCGCGCACCGTAAACAAATAGTATATTATGTTATAGTTTATCCAATGTCAGTTTAAAATGATATAAAAAACAAGAGTGCGGCATTCCTTTGTAAACCGATCTCGAACGCATGCCATCCATAGGCGCGCGTAACTTACTTTTCCAGGCTTTTCAATACATGCCTTACAATATTTTAATTAGTGATGGGACTCGAGTGACTTTTTTCACTCGAATAACTCGGTAGGTTTCCGAATTTACTCGAATCGAGTTGAAACTCGGTCTCATTGTTATAAAACTCGAGTCAAAAGTTAGGTCGAGTAAAACTCAAAAAATCGACTCGACTTTTGACTCGAGTCGCTTTTTGACTCGAGTAGATTTTTGAATCGAGTCGCTTTTTGACTCGAGTCGCTTTTTGACTAGTCGCTTTTTGACTCGAGTCGCCTTTAGACTCGAGTCACTTTTTGACTCGAGTCAAGTTTCTTTAATTTAATTGTTTATGGTTTTATTAATATTTTTAAATATTCTTTAGTGCCAGTGTGATTTGTTTATATAATATAAATATGAAAGATTATTTACATGAAGGCACTGAAGGCACTAATCTTGTAAAAGTAATAAAGATGAAAACATGTAACCATGAATGAAATCACTAATCAATTACTATATCATCGGGTCATCGGGATCGGGAATTCCCCTCCAGGTTTGTTGTTTCATGTTTGTAGGTCAGATTGTATAATTATTAATTAAAAAGGTTTTTATGTTTATCCTTTCGATTTTTCAAACTTATGTAGGAATTAGATGGTAGTATTTTAAATGCTGAAAGATTACCAAAAAGAAAAAACCTAAATACACTTTAAAAACTTACCGTGTGGCAAACCAGTGAATCATCTCCAACTACTTACTCTATAGTTCGCCTCGAGTTTGATTTCGGCTCTGCCCTTACTCTAGACTCTAGTCAAACTCAACTCGATTTAAAACTTAAATCATATTAACTCACTGATTCGAGTAGCAATAACTCGACTCGAGTAACAACTTTACTCGAATTGAACAGCCATATGACTCGAGTCACTCGAATCGGATTTTGACTCGAGTCACTCGAGTATTTTCACACTCGAGTCCCATCACTAATTTTAATCATCGTTAATTATTCACGTAATACTGACGCTGAATTTATATTTTAAACTGACATTGGATAAACTATACTAGGAGGAGAAGGCGAACATTACATGTTGAGCCCAAAAGTTTGCTCAGCCGAGGCGCAAGCCCAGGCTGAGCAACTGGGCGAAACGTATAATGTGTCTTCTACTCCAAGTGACATATACTATTTTTTCTTCAAGCGTCAAAATAAAAAAATTGCGACTTTAATTTCGAAAAATGACATCAAATACGTTCAATTTTGGCAAAAAAAAAAAAAAGGGGGAAAAAAAAAATTTTTTAAAAATAATTTTTTTTGGTTAACTAAAATATTGGTAATACAAAAATTTTATTTATTAATTAAGCATAACAGTATTAACCACTTTATTTATAAATTAAACATAGGTAACATTTTTTTTAATTGGAATTAAAATTACTTAAGTATAATATTTTTAGTTCTTAAACATCAAAGTCTATATTACTTATAGGTCTTTCCAAAAACCATTATTTATTAACATGAATATTAAATGTGCAATTCTGTATAGTACAGTTGCTTACGTTTAAAGCACTGCTAGCTGTGTTTGTTTCTAGATTCATAGTTCTGTCGAATACATTACTTGTAATAAGATTGTCAGTTTGATTGTTCAAAATTCTTTCATTGTTGGCAGACAATTATTCAGTAAAAATGTTTTCAGTTTGACTTGAAGTACTGGGCTCATTATTCTCTAATGGGTTTAGTGTTTTCATCGCTATCTGTTTTTTGTTGTTTACAGATTCTTCAATGTATCCTTCAGCAACGCTGGTGAATTTCCATCCACCATGTCGCTTTAGGGTTGTTATATCTCCACCATTATCAACTAAGATAGTTGCCGAGGTTCTTCTAAGGCTATGGCCCGTATTCATGTGAATTTGGCAACTTTAAAAACAACGAAACATTATTTGCAACGTTTGAAATTTTATGTATGCCCATCACAACACGATGAAAATGATCATTTTCATATTTAATAAAAAATCTACCAAAAGTTATGTCTTTTGGCCGAAGAGTAGCATATTTTCTGTATAAATTTAACAAAAATCTCCAATTATAGTAAATGAGCGATGTTTTTTGTTTTTGTGTTGGGAATATTTACTAAGATTAAATCTCCCAAATTTTTTATATCATTAACTTTTATATGAACAAGTTCATCGCATCTACAAGCTCCTGTGACTCCAAATATTAGTATAACCTAAAAAAATATACTATATTAATTTTATAAAAGTAAAATAAAGTTAGAAAGAGCAAAAAAAAGTTAAAAGTACAGGATTCGAACCCGGGCCCTCAAATAATGAGTCGAGCACTCTGACCACTGAGTTATATCCGCACTTAATCAAAGCATTCAATTATTTTTATCTATTATTTTCATAGCGGATAGATACAAAATAACTGGAATTTCATAAATTATAAAAAAAAATTATATTACAGATATGAAAGGGTCAAATATATATTTTAAAATGCGTATATACCTTTGTTGCTAAATATTTATCATTAGGTGCTTTATTAAGGAATTCATCAAACTCTTCTTTAGACAAAACTTTTGACTTCTTAGGTTTATAATTTTTGCCTATCGCTTTAAAAAAGGCAATTAATTTAGAATATTTGTCAATTTTTACATTGTGTTCGATGTTTAATTTAGATTTTACCATTGAATATTGCGCCCATAGATTGAACTTTTCAGTTTTTTGGATAAATGTGTAAAATACGCTATCATCACATTTTCCGAATACATATGTACGTTGTTGTCCTTGGCCTATTTTATAAATTTATCGTACGCATTATCGTAAACTTTTTTGGATTTCGCGGGAATTAATGTTGCCACTGATGAATTTGCAATTTCAAGTAATTCAGGTGGTGTGCACTGCATTTCTTCGGACATTTTTGCTTTTAAATTTGAAAACAGACCCGACGTGTAATTTAAAACTGACAGTTATGACAAGTCATAGCTACTTGGATTTTTAATTCGTTGTATGATAGGTACACTGCTGTGCAAAACTAAGTAGGGCAGCACTTATTACTGTACCTATAAGAGTTAAAAAGCGAGATAAGGAGTATTAAAAAAAGGGCTTTAACTGGGAGACGGAGGATAAATGATGGTTGAATACGATCAGTAATTAGCAAATTATCTGCGTGGAAAAGCAGATACATTTATTACACACCACTGCTGTCACTGTCTTACTTTTGCACATCAGTGTTCATTGTTTCATTGTTATCCTAGGAAAAAATGAAAAATATTTATATTAGTGCAAAAATAGGCTCTTTCTCTAGGACGTGTTGCAATATATAATGTAAGTATTGTATACGCTTGAAGAAAAATACCTTTTCTACGACTGCTAAGAAATCTGTTCATACCCGTGCACAATGGGCCTATTGTACACGACAAATTATGATTCAGGTTAATTATTAAATCGAAGAGGCTATGGTACTGTCATAGTAAAATACAAACACAGCCGCGCGTCAAACGTTTTTTTGAATTTAACGGAATAAGAAACTTAGTCGTGGAAAACGTAGTGTATAACTCGAACGAAATGTCCATCTCTTTACTCGTATGAATGTACGATTTGCAGCACTCGTCTGACGGGTCAAATAAATACGATTCCGTGCTTGTTATACAATATATACTATTCTTGAACCCTATGCAAATGACTTTTTTAACGTTGTTAAGAGGCAACCATAAAGAAGCAGTCCTCATGAAGGACACGTATTTTGACAACCAAAAATTGACATGAAAGTAATTTTTGAGAGTTGTACAAAAATACATATGAAAATTTCTTTTAATCGTTTAATTCACGCCACCTTTAATTATTCACTACGCTGCTTCGCACGTTTTTATCTGGGAAGAGGATGACATTTATTTTCAATTTTACAGAAAAGATATAGACGAGAACTTTTTTCACTATCAAAGGCCAGGAAAGATGTCGGCTTTCATCTTATATTGCTTTTGGATCGATTGATTGACTGAACCATTCACTCACTGCATTTACTCTTGACCAGTCGATTTTTCCTGAAAATCAAAGTCCTCCAATTACAGTCGCGATTATATTTGAAGGATTCCCCCAATTTTGTCATTATTTTAGGTATATTCATTGTAAGTCAATGAGTGGTTCTGGTTTGCCAAGTGAGTTAGGACCCTAAGTGGGGCGGTTTCATCATTTTTCTTTTTATAATATTCACAACTTTCTAAGTATATTATAGTGTATATTTGGAAGTAACATTTTCAAATTAAACGTAATTGCATAGTTGATTCTTTCGTGGGACACTCTTTCTTAGTTCATTTTAAGTAAAGTGGCTTAATTTATTTGCATGTCGCATAGCACTCCGCCTGTTTTGTGTAGGAATGTAGGTGTAAGATAATGTTTCTAACGTTGCCAAACTTACTCAAAGTACAAGGCTGTCAGGTTTATTACATTTTATAGTTGCGTGAACTTGAATAAGGAAATGCAAATTAGATTAAAACTGAGTTTATAAACTCTTTTAAACACGTGCCAAACATTATTACTATAATTAGGGGAGACTGGAGAGTTGCAAGACCATGTCGGTGGAAAAGCGAATATTATTCTCAACTTAAATGCATTTATGAATTATCACACTTGAGTTGAAAGAAAAAAATGAGTGTAAGGAATGGGGCCTAAAAAAAATTTGCTGACAAATTTCTAGACAACTAGGTAGATGATTAACGTGCACACAACAAAAAAAAGCACGATGCAGCCTTCAGACACGTGTTTCTAAATTCTTGTTCTTCGTCAGTTATACGTTGCAAATCAAAAATTTCAAAACGCAAAGGAGAGTTACACCACATTTAAAGGAGTTTTCAGTTTCAATTAATGTTCTCCCTGGGTTTGTTTCAAAATATGGGCGTTATAAGTAAAACTTAAGCCTTTTGGCAAAATGAAAACTTCATTTCAAAGATGAAGAATAAAGCTATGAAATTGGAGCTTTATAAAAAAAATAACGATTGGCTCGGTACCGCGGTGGGCTAGAGCGTTAAGTGACAAACGTTGCTGGTTTTACTGCCTGCCGATTCCCGAGTTCAAATTCCAGCTTCGAAGGGAGTGGTTGTGTATGCAAATTTGCTCATTTTTAGATAATAATTTTATAAACTACTATCTAGTTGAATAAAAAATAAAACTGCAGAATAATAAACAATGATTTATCCTATACCTGTATAAGCTTTGAAAATGAAATATGTGTAGGTAAATACATATGAGGCGGTTTTCTAAAAATACTCTTATACCTGTACAAGCTTTGAAAATGAAATAAAATACTCTTATACCTGTATAAGGAACATCCTCGGCCTTGATCGCTATTCTCGATGATGTCTTGACGTCAATTAATTCTGATAAAGTAACTTCCTTGACCTTATTAGATATGTCAAAAGCTTTCGATTCCTTAAATCCTGAACTGCTAATAAAAAAAGTTAAAATTCTACGGGATAGAGGATAATATCCTAATGTGGCTCACGTCTTATCTACTAAATCGTTTTCAATATACATGTCTTAACACTACAAGTGGAAGAAGACTCTCTAACGAACGTTTGCTACTCTCGGGAGTGCCCCAAGGCTCGATCTTGGGGCCCTTGCTTTTTAACATCTACACCGCACACTTGCCACAAGTCACGAAGTACTGTTCCCTGCACATGTACGCTGACGATATACAACTTTACCTTGCTTTTGATGTGACGAAGCCTGAGGAAGCCCAAACCAAAATTAATCATGATTTAAATGAAATAAATTGGACTCTTAAGAATTCACTCCTATTAAATCCAAATAAAAGTACAAATATAATTTTTGGCACTGCAAATAAATTAAGAGTTCTTACTCACTTTCAATTATCAATTGACAATATAATTATAGAACAAGTTGACAAGGTGAAGAACTTGGGGCTAACCTTTTATAAAAATTTAAACTTTATTCCTCATATATCAGAAGTCCTTAGAAAATGTTTCTGCTCTTTTAAACAGATTTCAAGTTTTAGAAATATCCTTGATAGGGCCACTAAACTACAGTTATGTGAGTCCTTAGTCTTATCACACGTCAACTACTGTGATTATGTTTATGGACCTCGCCTAAATTTATCAGAAGCAAACAAACTTCAAAAAATCCAGAATATCTGTATTAGATTTGTAACAAATTGGTCTATCTACGAGCATATAACACCACATATCAGGGAGTTACAACTACCAAAAATAAATGAGAGGCGCTTCCTACATTTCACCTCATTATTAAATAATGTCATCCTAACGCAAAAACTTATTTATTTCTATGATAAACTAATTGCGAGAAATGTTATGCATAACCGAAACTTGAGATATACAAACGACCAATTGCATACAATAAGGCCTAAATATGAAACATTTCGATCATCCTTTACCTACCTCTCAACTTATGTCATAACAATCTACCTCCACAGCTACACAATAAATCAACAAATGTACTAAAACGTCAACTAAAGTCTCTGATTTTGAACGGCGAATTAAACATAAATTTAAAATTGTTTTAGACGGTGATAAAATAGTGATAAAATCTAGATATCATATAGATAAATACTGTTTTTGATATATATTATATGTTCATATACTGTAGATATATGTACTTAACTAGATGTACGTTAGATATACACATATTGTAATACTGGATATTATATACTGTACTATCATATTCTGGATAAAATCATAAGTTAGATATTATATACTGTACTAATACTATACCAATGGTATCCTAGGTTAATAGTTTTGATATCAGTGTATACTATACCACTAACCTTTTGTGTTAAATTGCTTCTATTTTACACAATGAAGACATTTATTTATTTATTTATTTATTTATTATAAGCTTTGAAAATGAAATATGTGTAAATAAATACATATGAGGCGGTTTTCTAAAAAATACTCTTCAGCTATTTTTAAATAACAGGATCACTATGACTAAGTATTTTAAATCACCTTGTATACATACAAGCGGTTTTACATTTCGTTCGAATGAACACACATCAGGAAAACTTAATAATATCTAGAACTAGAATTTTTATTTTTGTACATAATTTTCCCATTTTAGTTATGGAAGTAAAAGATCTGATAACTCTGATGCATTTTTAGCCGCTAATTGATGGGCTTTTCTCGCTGCTTATCGTAGTTAGATTGTAAAATAAAATGACCTAAAAATGTACCTTAACAGGCTTGTGAAAGTGTAGAGGTCATCTCCCACGTGTGAAATAAAACCACGTAAACCTAGTCCTAAGTAAACAGTCATCTTGAACAGGCACAGTCAGCGATATCTTGTTTTGCGCGTTTGTGTCTTTATTATGTTTCGTATGCAGCGAATATTAAAA